CTGCCCGTTTATAATTGTATCACTCTGTCAGGTGACTCTTTCTCCCTTCTATAGACTGCCTCCCTTGCTATGTTGAGTTTTGATTGCTGTGTGGAGCTTTCTAATGTAATGTTACTCCATTCTGTTTGCTTTTCTTTTCTGTGCTTGTAGGATGCTATGTAGAAAACCATTGTCTCTAAAGAGTGTCTTGCAATATTTCCCATCTCATTTAAGTGTTTGCAGGGTTTGGGATTTTACGTTCAGGTTGCTGCTATATTTTAAGTTATGTTTATAAGTGATGAGATAAAGGGATGTAGTTTTCAATCCTGTGCATATGCTTATCCAGTTTCTTCAGTGTTACTGTTCTTTCTCTAGCATATATCTGATGCTTTTGTCAAGGACTAGTTGACTGTAGAAATGTGGACTTAGCTCTGGGTTCTCTGTTCTGTTTCATTGGTCCATGTGTCTCTGTTTGTTCCAGCACCATGCTGTTTTATTTACTATGGCTCTATAATAGACACTAAAGTATTATAATGTCTTCTATTTATTTACTTATTGGCAATTGAACCTCACCCTTCTGGCCCATTCTCCAGGGACCAGCCTCTTCTATGGCTGTCAGAGGTCTACTTACTGCCCGAGCCAGGAGGTGAATGGTTCTAGTGTTTACTTATTCCAAGGTGTTAAACCTATAGTCTGAAGCTCTAGACTTCCTGACTTTATCTACAGGGACTGTCCCAGAACCAGAATAGTCAAAGTAGATTATTTTTCTTTTACTATGAATGTTTTACTGTTAAAGCCCTCTTATTTCTTAGGCATTCACTCCAGAAACTAATCATTATCCTTAAAGATTTTAAATTACTCCCCAAGGAACCATACTGATATAGTTAATATTTCCTACTGCATGGTTGAAAAGTATCTTCAAGGACTGGTGAGAAGCTCAGATGGAAAAGATACTTGCCACCTTTTTTTTCTGATGACCTGAGTTCCATTTCTCTGGATCCACATAGTCCTGTCACCCCCATACATGTCACATGTGGTACATGCTTGTACCACAAGCAGTCCCTGCCGTGCACATACATATAAAATCAATTAAATATGGTTTAATAAAACAGCTACTGATAGAATCTAACTATGACTCCCCATGTATTCAAAGTAACACAAGTGATCCAAGAGACTCAACTTGGAAGCTATCCTTAGAACAGCAAGTAACTTCAGATCAGTCACAAAAAGAATATACAAAAATCAATCATTCCCATGTCAAAGTAATTAGAGAATAAAATGGTAACAGGAAATCTATCACAGTGGCAAAAGATACATGTAAAATGCCTACAAATTTACTTGATAAGACAACAGGATGTAAATGAAGAAAAAGCATTGTGAAATTCCATCAAAGGACTTAAATCAAGATGAATTTTGAATAAATAGTATACAAGATGATGTCTACTGTTGGGATAGCCCTGGGAAACTCAGCTGGTCACAAAATTCTGAGATTTGCTGACTCAATTGTTTCTATGTTCGCTCACTAATTGCTTTATTCCTTATATTGGGAAGCATCGCTTGCTTCTTCAAAAACCACTAAGCATTTCTAGAGATGACTAAGAGGTTTATGTTCTCCTTGATCAAAGTTAACCACAATTATTTTCTGATCTCCTGTTACTTGATCATCTATACATTCATTTGCCCCCTGTTTACTGGAGATTTACTGATTGTTTACCATGCCCTAAGTACTCTTATAGATGTCCACTACCCATTGCTTATGGCTGCTGGCAGCGGGGTGGCCCTTGGCTCAGAATGTGATCTTTTGTCTCAACTGTCCCTGTGAAGTCCTAGTAGCAATGGGCTATTTTATGAAGGTGTGTCCTAAGGTTTCAAGGATGCTCTTCATGGATGAGCACTGTGGGAAAAGGAATGCAGAGTGAGCCTGTTAGTAAAGATAGTGCAAAACAAGAAACAGAGGACAGCTAAAGTTCACGGGCATCCCCTGAGGGCCATTTCTCATCCCGTCCTTTATCTTTTAGCCTCACCTGCCAGCATGTTTTGGAATTGCCTCTTCCTGTTTTTTTTAACCACCTCCTGTTTTATCACATCAGCCTCTGCCATTGCTGAGCCTCCTCTATAACCCATCTTTCCAACACTAATACTTAGAGGCTCAAGTATCTTTATTTAATTTTAACTAAAGGCAATTAAATGATCTCTGTCTCTCTTTCTTCCTCTTATGGGTGTATTATCTTTATTTGCCTAACTGAGGACATCACTAAGTTGTTGTCGTCCTGAAAAGATAACGTCTCACCCTTTGGAAGACATTCTGATATCCACAGTGGCACATTTTAAAATATTTTCCTTTTCCTTTACTGCATTGGAATTTTGAAGATAAAGTCTTTTCTAAGCAAATAAATCTCCCACTATAATCCCTATAAAGTTAATACATTGAAATCATCTAAACACCAATAAGACAAATATCAAAAACAATGATAATAGAAAAGTAACTATACTAATGGTTTAATATAAACACCACTCCAATGGTAGAATGAGAAAACAGAAATTGAAAGTATCACAAAGTCTAGAAACTCATCTAAGAATAGAAAGGCATTGAGAAAATAAAGAATGCAATATAAAATACTATATAAATATAAATACAAGAGAAAAATACAGAGAAATATTTTGTAACAAGAGACCAACAAAGGTCTTTCTAACCATGGGGAAATGAGTGGCATTCTTAATAAATTTGTTTTTTAAATGTGTTATGTCCCACACACGAGTAAAGCTCAAAAGCACTATGCTAAGTAAAAAGTGCCCGGTACAGATGTCATGTATTGTGTGATCGGTTATATTTATGTGAACCTAGAATAGGCAACTCTAAAGGGCCACCAGTAGATTAGTGGTCATCAGTGAAGCAGACAAGTGTTTAACAATGAGTAGTGGATACAGTAATGAAATGTTCTGGGATAGGTAGTGACAATGTGCGAGCAGCTTTTTTAAAAAATTATTGCTTGAGAATTTCATATTTGCATATAATGTGGTTTTGTCAGCTCCATCCCCAAACTCCTTCTGCTGTAACCCCTGCCATGTCCCTCCTACCACTTTTTCCTCCCCCGGGGAGTATATGCTTTCTTTAACCCATTTACTTCACTTAGTACCGCCAGTATCTACACATGTGTAAGGTCATCCGCTGGAGCATGGACGACCTATCAGGTTGAATCCCTGAAGAAACTGGCTGTCCTTTCCCCAGGAGTCATCAGGGGACTCTGTGAGCCCTTCCCCATAGTGCTACTGTTTGGGTTGGCTTGATCTTGTACAGGTCTTGTGAGTGCAGTCACTGCCACTGTGGGTGCTTGGGTACAACAGCATTGCATTCATTACACCTTGAAAACACTGTTTTGGGTCAGTCTCCCATTATCTCTGCTTCTTATGATCTCTCTGCCCTCCTCTTCCGCAGTGATCCCTGAGCCTTGAGGGGAGAGGGTGTGATACAGATTTCCCATTTAGGACCGAGCACTCCACGATCTTTTATTCTCTGCACATCGATCGGTCACGTGTCTCTGTATCAGTCACCACCTGCTGCCCATGGAAGCTGTCTGATGAGGGTTCACCAGCTAGTCACTTACATTAAAGGCAGGATTTTATGATATATCAATTACGTCTCAATTTTTAAAAGATATTAAGGCAAGCTAGTTCCACTTGGGGTGTTATAAGAAAATGAAAACCCAGTATGCTGGTAAAGAATGTCAAAGATTATAAATTCTAACTTTTTAAGATTAAATGACTGTTAAGCATATAAAGTACAAATTAAAGCGATAAGATGTAGTATTTACCTGGAGGCACGAAAGGAAATTGTACATTTCCATTCTTGGGTAGAATGTAGTCTAAATGGTTATTCTATGATACTGGTTCTCAAGAGAAAATTTATGGTTTCTCCAAAGCCTTTTATTGTTTCCGCATTTTCATTTCTAGGAACTTCTCCTAAATAAATATTTGCTACCTAAATGGCAGGTAGTAAATTTCGTTGGCACAGCAGCACGCATCTGCTGCTAGGAGGGAAAGTCGGAGTGATAATATATAAAACACTGCAGACATATGCAGTGCATGTGGAAACCCAGAGAGGTGCTCTCTCCAGAGTCTGAGGAACCGCCTCGCATTGGCAGGATCATAGCAGTTGTGTTTTCTTAGTCATTCTTATCCATATTTTCAGTTAACTGTGATTTCTAAATACTCTGTAAAAGTATCCTTTATAATAATAAATTATTTCTGTTTTTTTTATTTTTAAGTGTTATTTATTTTATTATACTATTTTGTTAGAAACAAGGCCATAGTGTGTAGCTCAGGCTAGCCTTGAACTCTTCCCTCCCTCTGCTTCTATCTTCTGGGTGCCAGAATTACAAGCATGTGCCACCATGCCCAGCTAACAATTCATTTTGCAGCTCCCATTTTCAATGTGAGAAATCTTTCTTGTTTTGGTTTAGTAAACCCCTCAGCAGAAAAGAGATTAGAAAAGACAAAGACCTTTGTTCTTCTTCTAAGACCAGATCGGTGATCTCAACCTTCCTGATGCTGTGACCCTTTAATACAGTTCCTCATGTTCTGCTGACCCCCAAACACAGAATTTTTTTGCTACTTCATAACTGTAATTTTTCTACTGTTATGAATCATAATGTAAATATCTGTGTTTCCTGGTAGTCATAGGCAACCCCTGTAAAGGGATTGCTCAATCACCCCCCAGGGGTCGTGACCCACAGGTTAAGAACCACTAGACTAGAGTGTCATGAGCGCTATAAAAATCCTTCAAAGCCAGGTTCTCACTCTCTGCCCATGGGGTTGTCTTCAGGGATGGGGGTGTTAATATGGCTCGGGGATTTGGTCAGTGGTAATGGCCTAACATAGAACATTATAAATTTAACTGTTTTTAAGATTTTTCTATTTCAAATAGAGCTCTGTGTGCACTGCCAAGCTCACACCCAAATGGAATTCTTCTAATTGGGAATGTGTGGCCCTTGGTGTAACAATTTCTTCTCCCGTTTTCCTAGACAGAATCATGAATAAACTGGAGGACAAGCAGGACCAGATGATACCATGAAGAGAAGTTTACAGGCCCTCTATTGCCAACTGTTAAGTAAGTTCATGCCGCATTCGTTCTTTACCCGGAATGTGCCAAAGCTGTCACTTGCTGAGTGCCAGGATCTTGGTGGAGGAATACTAGGGTTGGGTCGTTTCCCGTCTGCTTCGTCTGCATAAGCCACCAAGCATCAAGTCGCTCTCATGTCTTAGGCATCCGTCATACTGGAGACGTCATTGTAATTCTAGTGTGACTTAGTTCAAAATGCACATCAAAAACATAATCATTCTTTGTTCTGTGGTACAATATAAAGTGTTGCCGCATGATCTTGTGTTGATTTCTCATGAGTAAAAACTGGTTGGTGGATTGTATTTTCTCGATTTTTGACACATGGAACCTGATAGGCTTTGGGGACCACACAGCCTTTTGCTTGGAATTTGATGTGTAGATATGCGTGATTCTCAAATAGTAAGTGGGATCAATGTGGTTTCTTGGGTTTTATGGCAGAATATGAGTATGACTTTCCGTGTGTTGCTCATGCGCTTTTGGGTTATGTCTTAAAGAACCATTCATGATGGTACTGGGGGTGGGAATAGCTACTGAGTTGAATGGAAAACCCAGAGCAGTCCATGTTTTTGATGCTCTGGAGATCTCACTTGACCCAACAGACACTGGCCACTCTGAGTCAGAGCGAAGCCACTGCGTTGGAAACCTTGAGGATGGAGCACATTGTGTCTGTAGAGGCTGGTGGGGAGGTGGATGGAAGACAGGGCTTTCCTAAACCAAGCAGTGCCTGACTTTTGCTGAGTGGATAAAATAAATCAAATGAAAATGATTGAGATGCAAATCACTAGGCAGTCAGCCCGCAGAGTTTCCAGCCCAGGTTAGATGCTGTAGCCTGCAAAGCTCTTTGTCTACACACAGTTTGGGGCCAAGCATTTTAATTGGCTCATTTCGTCTGCTGAATTCTAATCCCAGAAGCTCATAAGGCTAGTTCAGCCTGCTGGACAGTTGCCAGGCTGTATGGGGACCTTCTTCTGTTCTTTTTCTGTTTCCTATGGGACCATAGTTCTCTCTCTCTCTAACTCTCTCTGTCCCCCCTTCTCCCTCTTCCCCTCCCCCTCACTTTATAAAAAACTTATTTGTTAGAGGGGGGCTGTACAGATTGAAGAGGCTATGCCATAAAGACATGAGTTAGTCTACCTTGATGGAAAAAGAGACCTGTGAAAGATAGGCTCTCCCTGCCCCATCAACACGTGTTATATCTCAAAGAAGGGACGGGAGGCTGCAGGAGAATTGGGGCACTGCAAAACAGCATAGCAGATTTGAGAGGTAGGAAAACTTTTGAGGAATCCCCTGTGCTGATTGTGTGTCCCATGTCTGCCTATTACTTAAAGCCATGTATTATCTGAAAGGCATTAGATAAATTATTCTACCATTCAAAGTTAGGCCCAATGCTGCACAGTGTCTGTTCTTCTAAACGCTAAAAGCTGGAGGGGTCAGACATCACCTGGACCGCTATAGCCACCAATGGTCCATGTTTGCAGAGATGCCAAGAGAATTCTGTAGTTAGGAGGTAGGTCATAACCATCACTAACCACCACCCCCCATTATTGACGTGCATAATAACTCATATATGCTATTGGCATCCAGTTGTTAAGTGTGGTAGTGTGAATGTAATTGACCCCCATAATCTTATAGGGAGTGGCACTATTAGGAGGCGTGGCTTTGTTGGAGTGGGTATGGCCTCATTGGAGGAAGTGTGTCACTGTGGGGACGGGCTTTGAGGTTTCCTGTGCTCAGAATACAGCCCAGCGTCTGAGTTGACTTCCCATTGCCTGCAAGATGTAGAATTCTCAACTATTCCTCCAACACCACACCTGGCTTTTACGTGGGTTCTGGGGATCCAAACTCAGGTCCTCATGTACCCACAAGTGCCTCTTCCTCAGGCTAGTCCAGTCTGGAGCTCGGATCATAATGGGACTCCATAAGTATTTGATTTTATGATCGTTCTCCATAAAAATCTAAGATATCATTAATGTAAGATGCACTGTTATTTTGTGAGCCGCTAAGAAAATGTTGCTTAAGCTTTCACATGCTATCAATTAAACCTCGCCCTGTGGAAACAGGTGCGTGGGTAACATGCATAATTAGTAGCTGGACTGTGGGTAATATAGTCCTCAAGCCTTTGCCACTCCATTCTCCCTCAGGGCCAAGCCTCAGCAAGGCCATCCATAGTCCAGGCTTCCACTTCCGGTGGGTCCTTTGAAAGCTGGGGAGGGATCCGAAAAACTGTGGCATCACACACTGAAGTCGGCTTGTGTATTCTGTCTTCGTGTTTGCTTTGCCTGACAAGTGAGGGGAAATCTTCCCTTAGACTAAAGTCCAGAAAGTGATGTAAATTGTAACGGGCACGACCTTTGGGTCCAAACAACCACTGACCCTAAATCTCGCCTTTCTGATGTTACAGGCAACCATACAGCTACTGAGGGGCATTCCCAAGGTTGGGAGAGGGGGAGCTTCACCCCTCATCCTTTGCAAAGGATGACACTGCCACCGTCTGGTCCTCGCCGCCGTGGAGTGTGGCAGTGCTGGATTCTGGATAAAGAATGAATGAGTTCAAATTCTGGCTCTTCTAATTATTGGGATCAATTTCCAAACAAAACATAGCAATTAGAGCATGCTTCCATGGCTTAACAGCTGCTGGGCCCCCTCTCCCCGGGGCTTTTCCCGCCCAGCAGCTGATAAGTCTTGACCCTTTTAGTGACTGCTATGGGAACATGTTACAACTTGGGTTTCTATTTCTTCCTGGCTTCGTGCTGAGTGTTTGTTTGCTTACTTTTTAAAAAAAAAAAAATTAAACATTGGAGGCCAGATAGTTTTCCCTTCATGAAAAGATTCGCAAGGACTCTCTAGGGATAGGACAGGTCTCTGTATCTCTGCAGTCATTCACATACATCTGAGGCGGAAATGCTGTCCAGTGTGACCCTTAGCATACGCGGTCCTTAAAGGGCTCCTAATTGGTTTAACGCCTTTTACATTATAGGTTGGGATTCTTAAATTTATTCAAGTAAACGGTTCCTTTCTGCCAATGAAATCTTAAGATATTTTTCCACTGTCAGCAATGTCAGTAAAGACTGGAAAATAGCTTTATGCCTTTGACTGCCTCTCACCGTAGAATTGCCAGGGAATATCCGAGAAAAGTTTTTAGAACCCTATTGACTCTAGTAAATAAATCCAGTCTTCTATATGAAAGACCCTCTGCTAAAATATAAGGGAGGAGAAAATGTAGGGTTTGGATGTAGAGGATGTGCTCTGAGCTCTCCCCTATCCTCTGAGCAACTATATAACTTCACAAAGTGCTTTCTCAACTGCGATGCCCAGATGAAAAGTGTAATATCTACCTTGATATAGACTCATGAGACATAAATTAAAAGGGCATAAAATATTCCAGTGTTATGAAATGCCCTTCAAATATGAGCTGTTGCATTGTCAGCAAACAGTAATATTTAGTAAATAACCTTTATTTGCTTAGCAATCTTATTTTAAAGAAAGGAGAGAAATAGTCTTTATTACTCTGTCCAGATGCCAGCTCGGAGGGGTCCCCCTCACTCTACATAAAGTACATAAATTGAGGAGATAGATAGATAGATAGATAGATAGATAGATAGATAGATAGACAGACAGATATCTCTTTGTTTGACAACATTGTTAAAATTTTGGAATTTTCTTCTGTAAAAGAGAAGGTTAAGCAGGGTTTGTTTTGTTGTCATTTTTCAATTTAAAAAGACATTTTCCCCATCAATGCTATATTCATTTGTAATTGACCTCAGAGTTTTCAGAGACATGAGTCACTGGCTATACTAATGTGTGGTAAACATTAGAGATTCTTGAGAGCAGAACCTATGAATCTTCCAAACCCAAGACCCATTGGCTCTGCAGCCTCTCCATCCAGTCCCTCCCTCCCTCCCAGCCCTGCCTCTGCTTGAGTCATTGGCAGCCTTTTCCCTGTGGCTGCTCCTCACTGGGGCAGTTTGCCAGCCTCTCCCCTCCTGGGCTGGTCCTCTCCCACTACAAGTGTCCCTGCAGTGCCTCTCAGGTGAACTTGGCTTTGCTCAGACTGCACCAGGGCACTCCCAGGCACCATGGCTTGGGGAATTACCCAGATAGCAAACCAGAATCATTTCCTGGGTACCTGCTAGAAAACACCCCTGCATTATTTGCAGTAGAAGGTAAATGAGAGGGGAGGGCTGGTTGCTCTGAAGTGAAACACGGCACAGGAATGGTAATGACCAAAATGCCAGCTGCTCTCTTGGAGATCCCTGTGAGGCATAACCATCCCTCCACCCCGAGAGAAAGCCAGCCTGAGGGCCAGCCAGAGTGACGAGGGCAGCTTACCTGACTACGTGGAGACCTAGCTAAGCAGTTCTCACCACAGCAAAGGGGAATTCCTCGGGAGGGAGGAGACTCAGATAAATGGTCAGCTCATTTCGTTCGTATGTTACGGTTATTTTGACCATAAGTGTAAGTGTTAAATGATTGAACTAAAAAAAAAAATGTAATAACTTACATCAATAGACTAGCTATAGAAATTTTATCCAGAAAAAAATAACCCATATTTCAGTTGACTTGATATCGTCAGGATATTCACTTTTCTCATGGCAAGTGTAATAGAGAGAGATGTGAGTCCTGAGGGAGTCCTGTGGGTCAGCTTATCAAAAAGGGTCCCCAGGAATAATGTGTAGAATCATAGAAGAGTGGGCCTAGGGAGGGCAGGCAGCCCAGAAAGGGTGGGGCTTCTGTCTTACAAGCTCTGGTAGGAGACAGCCCATACTTCGGAGTATCTCCCTTATGGAGGCAGAGCTGGAGTCTGTGTTCCTGGGTATGCCAGGTATCAATTGAGTAAGACAAGGGCAAGTCAGGCCCTGTTCACTTAAGCTTGGGGATTCGCATGTTAACATACATGTCGAGTGTTCAGGATGATCCCGTAAACACTGGGCCGTTCTTCTTACTGTCCACATCACCTCTCCCCTCTGCCCTCCCTTTTTTCTGAGTGT